CCCACAAGAACCCCAACCTCTTTTAGTTTTTCCAGAAAATCTCTCTTTCCAAGCAGTCCTTATCCGCGATTTTTAGCTTACCCAGTTTCTCTTTTATTTATTTTACATATCTACCAATACTCCTATTAGGTTTATTTGAATCAAATAATATAAAAACCAAATAATTTTTAACATTATTGCTCTAACTTATCAATTGCTATTTATACGAAATATTTTCTGTTAAATAATAAGTGTTCCGTGCAAAATAATTATTTCACGCAATACATGTATTTGAAGTATAAGTATTTCACGTAAAATCAATATTATAAAAATATTCGAGGTAAATACCAATATAATGTTTAAATCTACGTCCTAAGGTTCGTATTGTAAACAATAAATTGTTTAGATATTGGATAATTTATTACCTATTTTATACCTACATATTATAATAAAATATAAATTTACATATATGTAATAATAAAAAATATTTTTTTAAAGTAGGTATTAAACTCGTTATATGTTTTGATTTGGTCAGTATAGACAATTATATTATATTATATATTATAATTTAGTCAAAACCTGGGCTGATAGTAACTCGAACACGCTAGTAAAAAAAAAAATTAAATAAATAAAATGTAATGGTAACTCTTAACTCAACGTCCCCGCGTGTTAAATTCTAAGTAACTCCGGGGATTATAGATTGGAGCAATGTCTGAAAACTGTTTTTAGAAGTGCAAACGTTTGTTGACAAAGGGGTATATCTGTTTATTTTCGGACGATTTGCGTAGTGGACTAAAATTGATTGAAATGTAGTAACAACTATGCTTATAATTAAAACCCAAAGTTTCAACTGTTTTAGGATTAAATAGAATTACCAAATTCTGTCCAGCACATATCGTTAGGGTTGAACAAAAATACCGACAAACTAAATATTAAAAAAAAAATGGTTTTCATTAATTCACCTATTATTTCACATCAGGCATTATGAATGTGATAATTAAGTTAAAAACGACTGGACAAGAAGTGAAAACGATATCAGTTTGTCACTATTGCAGTAAAACTTCCAAATTGTAACTTTTGTTTTTCTTCAAACTCCAATGTCCAACCCCCCTTGTGTAGCGTTTTTTGATTCAACAATGTTAACGTTTACGCTTTAACACACTCGTCCATCACGACTTAAGTTCTTCGAGGACCATTTAAACATCGATTTATACAGTTTCTTCCAGAACAATTACCGTTATTATTTATATCTATGTGTGTGTCTTTATAACTACGATGTACATATGTCATTTTTTAAAAAGTTGATTATAAACCAATTCATGTGATACAGCTTCAATTTAAACCAATTCTGATGATTTTTTTCCCATGTTTCAACTTGAATTTACTTAAACTGGTTTAGTTGAACCTATAAAACAAAAATTGACTTTTTCTCGGGTTTTAGAAAACGACAGATGTTCCTCTTTGATATGAAGCACTGATTATATATATATATATATATATATATATATATATATATATATATATATATATATATATATATATATATATATATATATATATACACAATAGGTAATCAAAGTTAAGCAACGCTGAGCGTGGCTACTAGCACTTGGATGGATGATTATCCACCAAGGAAAACCACATTCACCGAGACCCCTCTCTCTCCCCTCCCTCGGTCTCTCCGTCAGCTTACTGGAGGCAACTCACACCGACCGGGCATAGAATTGATGACTCTACCCCGTACTTTAAATTTTAAAAAGACTACACTCGCGGTCAAAGATCTTCATGGTCTGTAGCGCCCACCGAAAAAAAAAAAATATATATATATATCCAATTCTTTCAAAATTAAATTCTGGATTCCCTATTCCAAGTCATCAACGAAAAACCGATGGATAAAGCTGCGCCAACAGATGTAGTTACAGAAGTGCTAAATAAACGTGTTAAATTCTCATTCGATTCCACTTGAGCTGAAAAATAGATGTGCTATTGATGTCAACATTAAGAAGTAATAAGTAAGGGCAGAGCGGTCAGGAGAGGACTCGACCAGGGAATTGTCTAACAATAAATCACTCGGGACAAAGGGACCCGATTCAGTCCCTGCTAAAATATCGTACGTCCCCTCCGGCTGATATTATATCCGCTAAAATAAATAACTGACTTTATCTATATTCAACGATAGATAGCGCTGACAGGCCATCAGCGCTTAAGTGGGCAACTCGCCTGTTATCAGCTGTCACGTGGGCTTTATCGTTTCAGTTTGTCAAGCCAACAGGCACACACATACACACACTGTAAGCTAAACACTAACAGGCACCTCAAGTTAGTCCACTATCGATCCCGTATATGTGTCTATATCTGTCAGAGGTCTACTTAAGGCCAAATTGGACGGAGGTAATGGTCTAAGTATGACGAGTAAAGTAAGGAAAAAGTTTATGTTCTACTTATATAACTTGACGCAAAAGTGTATGGGCAAATTAAAAGAACTACCAACAACCCTAACAACATACAATGGCACAATAATACAATGCACAGCTTGGCGGACTTTAACTTTAACTCTTAAATACACGGATTTTTGTTTGCAAAAGATTTTAGAATTTCATTTCGCCTACGAAATAGTCTCTTGGCCGTGCTGTTTAAGTCTTCTTTTGAAAAACAAGACCTATCCACAAGATTTACCATTTACCATGAAGCTCGTACATTAAGAACCATCATTTTTACTAGGTAGCTGTTATTTTTTATTGAATCTTCCGTCCCTGGCGGTCATCATTCATTGCATATCAAAAGAGTACTACAGGTATTTCTTTGTATTTCCACACCTTCATTATTTTTACTTCATGTTTTTTTTTCAATCTTTAATTACTTTAAAAAAAAAAACCTTTACCACTACCACCCATGAAGGGTCTGGGTTCAGTACTATTTAGGGAAAGCACTGTTCCCAGGTCAACGGTTGTGCAAGGAGGTGATTTGACCGAGATCACACTCAACCCCCAGGTTTTCCCCCTTAATTAATTATTTAATTAAGGGTACCCACTTTATAGAGGCTGGGTGTGCCCCAGGAGGGTCTCCTGACCCAGGGTTACCCCACGGCCAATGAAACAGATAAATAAATGTTCTGCCATGAGCCGGGGTTCGAACCTGGGACCTTTGCATTGGAAGCTCAGTACTCTACCACTCCCCTCTTACTTACTGAATAAAATTAGAAAATAACTAATCTGTATTTTTGTTTATGTCTCTGAGGTTCCTTAGCCCACCTTTCTGTCTTTCTGTATTATTGTAAAGAGACTCGTCCAGAATAAATAAAGTAATATTATAATTATTAATACAACTTAGGAAAGTTATATTGAACAGCTGATTTGTAGAAATACATGGAAGAAAAAAAATAATAAAAGAAAAAAAATATGAACAACCAAAATATAATAATACAAAATGTGTTAAATTAAATAAAATAACAAATTAAAAAATCCAAAAGAAAAAGCTCGAAGGTACATGTAACATCCATTCTCAACAAAACTTGGTGGATACACGGCCATTTCACAAGTAATATTACTAAGATGAGAATAGAGCGAGACAAGATATATAAGATGATTATTTTATAAATGGAAAGTCGATATGTATTTTTTATTTTATTTATTTATTTGTTTTTTCTTTCTGCATATGTGTGATCTGGATTTTTCTGCCCTGATGATGCCTGAGTTGACGAAACGCTGGGAAGTTTATTGTTCACATGTATGTTGGAGACTTGTGGCTATGCAGTTTGGATTTTTCTATTAATAACATTTACACCATTAATGTTAATCCGATTATCGAAAATCTGTTTGTTTAGCTGTTTTTATTATTTCGAAAAATAACAATTAACTTTCGAGTTAATGCGTGTAAATAAATTGTTCGCATATACTCTTGCGCACACAAAAGCAAACAGTGGATGGAATTTGATTAAATTAATAATAAGCTACTTGTAGATAATCCCCAAATTTTAACTTAGGAGAAAATCTGACGAGTCGTAAACAAAATATCGGCATGATAAGGAAAATAAGGTAGGGTGGACGCAGAAGAAAAAAGTGAATGGAATTTGATTAAATTGATGAGATCTAGAAGGCTACCCACACGCTTCGGGTGAATGAAAATTACATCACCATTTGGTTAACAGAGGTAGGTGTTACACGGGTCATATAGTTATGAGTACAGACGTACTGACACGAAAAAAAATTTGTCTCTTAAATTTTTGAGCGTAAAAAAGGAATCTAAATTTTTGTTCAGAAACATATTTTAATTTTTTACGTGAATAATAAGCTTCCCTAACGTTTGTTGGGGATGCCCTTTTCCCCATTGTGCCCATGCCATGTCTCTCTCCCTTCCAAAGAACTTTTATTTCTCACTACTTATTAATAGAATTATAAAAAGTGTTGATCATATAAAAGTGAACCTTCTGTGGTTTGTTTCATGTTTTTTTTATTGGTTAGGAAATTCTCTCTTATTGACCATCCAAAAAAAATTGCGGCTCTTTTCTATTTTAAGCACACCAGTGACTATATTTTTCCCTGTTCGTCTCTCTAACATGGCTTCAAGTTAAGATACTTTTTGAGTAATAGCTGATTACATAGAAGATAAAATTCTGAAAATTTTCCTTGCTTACAGTACACGGGTCCGATTTTTAGTTTCTGAGAAAATTTAATCCAAATTCAAATACACTGGTTTGCTTAAAGTAGAAAAGAGTCAAAATTGCTCCCTCTGAAAATTTATAACACAATCAAAATATACTTTCCTCCAAAATTCTAAATCCCTTAGAAAATGTGGCACTTTCAAAAATGTTGATCGAACTCCCTCTTCGGCACCCCTAGCGTGAATTTTAATAATCAAAATTACATTAATTACTGTAACCTCACACAATAGTAAGATGAAATAATAAATTACAATCGTGGTTCGGTCACAGAAGTCATCCCAATTTGCTATACTTCTATCATATATTTAACATTAAATTAATCTAGTTTTCTTTTTAATTCGATCACATGTTATTTAAAATTAATTGTAATTTTTTCTTGATAGAAAAGTTTAAACAAGCATAGAATAATGGCTACTATTATCCACCAATTTTACCTCATTTTTCTTCAATTCAGGAATGAAATCGCTCAAGTGGTAAGACGATTGAATAATAATCTAGTACTCTATGAAACTGTTCGAAAATCATATTTTATAAACGCCTGTCGATTTTGTTGATGATACGAAGCATGGGTCATTTTGCAAACAAAAACATTATAATAGAGATTGCAATAAGAATTTTTGGACTTACAGTAAAAATACACTGAACGAGTAAAGGAACATAGCGGTTGAATTTTGAGATTGAATTGGTGACGTCACCATTTATATTTTTAAAGAAAAATATGTATAACCTTTACAGTATGATGTATAACGTTCCTCAAATTATTTTCATAACCTCTAATGACACATTTAGGTACGTAGTTCTATGGTATTTAAAATCCCGCACAATATAGACATTTCTTGTTTTCATGTCTAAAGCGAAAGAATAATCGTTGATGGAGATGGAGATGGAGACATAGGTGGTTTTTGAAAGAGTTTCCTGAGAGAGTTTTTCCATTAGAGTTGGATGGGGAATTCCAAAAAGAAGTGCATTGAATTACAAAGGATTCTGTTCTGTGTGGAGGTATATGAGAGAGGTCTCGCATTTAATTGGTTGACAGAAGAACATAGTGATGACAACAATAATATGGGATTTTTTTGGTGTCGAAGATGGGTAAAGGAAGGCATCAAGGGTTGTCTTTCAAGTATTGTCTTTCAAAAATAGGAAATAACCAGTCTTAAAGTCTTAAAGTCTTAAAGTCTTAAAAGATATCTGTGAGAGATGTGAGAGCGTCAGGGAAGACCACAAAAAAAATAATAATAAAAAATACCTGTACCACTACACCGTCTTGGGTTCAGTACTACTTGGGGAAAGCTCTGTTTCTTGGTCTACAGTTGTGCAAAAAGATGATTTGTCTGAGATCACACTCAACCGCCAGGTTTCCCCCTTAATTAATTATTTTAATTAAGGGTACTCACTTCATAGTGGCTGGGTGTGCCCCAGGAGGGTCTACCTACCCAGGATCCCCTCATGGGCAACGAAACAGAACAAACAATTTTTCTTCTATTTGCGGGAATTCGAACCTGGGATCTTTAGCATTAGAAGCTCAGTACCCAACTACTGAGCTAATCCACTCCCGAAAAAATCATAAATAAACCTATATCTTATGAAACAATTTATTAATCTTTTCAGCCTCATATCGTGTTCAGTAGGTGTTGAAATGATTCACGGAATTTTAAGAGCTGTTTAAGAATTGAGGTGGATTTAGGTTGATATCAGAAATAAAGTTATTCCAGTGTAGGTATTGATAAAAAATCGGAGCTTCGAGGTTTTTTGATTGACTTTTGGACTTGAACAATCATGCTATTGAAATATAATAATAATAAATATAGGGAAGGCCTTGAGCCAATGGGTGTTGTCTTAGTTTTTGCTGGATTCTAGCTTAATTTATTTTCCTAAGCCAGTGATTGATATGAAGTTGAAAGGGTGGAAGAAATTACATATTTGTAGGTTGTCAAGCTTGAGAATGATACTGGAAGTGACTTAGAACTGGTAGGTCTTTATATAGCTGGAAAATAAACATGGTGAGATGAAAGATCCTTGAGGAACACCTCGTGGAAGGAGCAGTGATGGTTTTTGTGATGACTGTTTGAGAGCGATGAGATAAGTAGGATTACTTCGTTGGAGCGTGCGCAGAATTCGACGGTCGAACTCAGGGTCCTTAAATAGTACATACTAAAAAATTGTCCGCGATGATAGTGAGTTTCTCAGCCGTTTATATGATCAAATAATTACTATAAACTTAAGAAATAAAAAGTAAAGTGATTAAAAAGAAAAATTTAAGTAGTTTTAGAAGAAATGTAAAACTGTATAAAGCAGTGCAGAACTAGTGTGAACCCGCTGTTTAACGTTGCATATTCGTTACTTTAACATGGTGCCGACGATATATCATAACGAAAGAAGAAACTCAATTATTATGGGAAATAAAATAATAATCTAGTCTGCAAGTGATGAAACTGAAGATTTATTCCTATCCAGTTTTCAACCGCTTATCAAACTGCTGGTTTAATTGCTGAAACATTTTAAACTAACTTTTTCTATCTAAAAGTTTAATTGTAACATTGGACCATAGGGCTTACATACTGATCAGATTTATAGAGGAACTAGAGAATTAAAAAAAAATCTGAATAAATAACGGAGTTATAATAGCTAGGCAAAGTTAGAAACTCTTCAACATAAAATAATGTTCAAATGAACAATTATTCGACGGAAAATACAGCTGGTAATAGTACTCGGATTTTTTTAGACTATTTTTAGGGACGGTCATGAAAAACAACGAAAGTCCATTACATAAAACTGAACCCCTGTACACGTGCATATCCTACTACATCACCACACAGTTTTGATTCATCTCAACCCAATTTATTTTTTCAAACTATTTAGGTTGATTTACATGTTTTAGTATAGAAGTATAGCGTATCAGTATATAGAGAAATAATATGGAAGCACAGAAACACTTAGGCAGATTAACTATATATTAATTTATAATCATATATAATAATAATATAATCATATATAATCATATATAATAATCATATATTAATTTTTTTCTAATAATGAAGATCGCTCTTCATAATGTCTTACAAACTGAAATTTCGGAAATAAAAACAACAACTATATGTTAACAATATATTTATTGTTATTGGTCATTATTATATTTGGTATCTTTAATTTGCAAATATGAATGACCTCATATCAAACACGGACATCAGTAATTCTTTTAAATTTGCAAAAAAGCTAAAATATGTATATATATTTATATATATGATGACGATACTATATTTTTTTTTCATTAATATTCTTTACAATATTTTAGCTTGGCTTGTTCTGTCAACGGAACACTGCTGGCGAATTTACAGAAGCCATGAGGCGTGATCAATACAACAATTTTTTTAATGCTATGCTCTGCTTATTTCTGTCTACGATTCTGACGGCTTTGATGGTAAGCGATAAAAACAAAATGTAGAAATAAATAAAATATATATAAATCATTCAACGGATCCAAGATAGAATTGGAAGTTAAAACAAGACATTAATCAGTTAAATCAATCTCCACTGGCTTTAACACTAGTGATGCGGCTGTGAGAGTAGCGCAGGGATCTCTTGGAATCTTGCTTTTCCCTCTATAGTTGGAGGGACAAGCCTGGCTAAGGGTTCCCTGCCTGATTGCATATCTTGTATTTAGGTATGACTGTGTTTTTATGTTTTTAATTTACTTATCGCTAAGTTATTTTATTTTTTATTATATATATAGTTTTTTTTATTATTATTTAGTGATTATTATACTTTTATTAATTTGATGTTTTCGGTACATATGGTGTGAATGTGTTCACATCTCACTATAATTATTGTCCGTGTGAAAGATTATTATATTTCTGAATAAATAAATAAATAATAATAAATAAATAAATGCTTGAAAGTATAAAAAATGTCACTCAAAAGCATTTATAAAAAACAAAAAAAATATTAAAAAGGTTTTATGTGATAAGATAATCGTTTCTATTGTTCAATAAAATCGTGAATGAAAATCTATTATTTTTGAATTGTGCAGTAAAATATTAGAATGTTTAAAAGAATTATCTTAAAATATTTGGTAGTTCCGCGACCAACCACACAGGACAAAATATTGAAATTCATCAAGAATAGATAAACCATGTAGAATTATTTAAAGAAATCTTAAGTCATGGAAATTAACAAAAAATAATTACCAAACTGAATAGATCAGAAGTCAAAAATATTAAATAAAACTGTCTTATCAACAACGTGTGAAAAAATGATGTTTTAGTATCAAGAAAAGTGTTTATTGATATATATGTGTATTTTGCTTTTTTTAATTATCTCATTTTTAAGTTACACTATTTTATTTATTATCTACAATTTTTTATTATTATTTTGCTTCTGTTTATTTAATATTATTTTGTACATATAGTGTGAATGTGATCTTACCTCACAATAAAATAATGTCCAAGTGACCTAATGTGATAATTGTGATATTCAATAAATAAATAAAAAAGTATCCAGTAAAATTAATGATATTGATATTTATATTTTTTTAAATAAAAAGCTGGCTTTATTTGTATCATATTTTTAATATATGTTTGATCTTAATCTGATATAACTGGAATTAATTCTGAAAAAGACACATAGAGTGCAGGATTAAGATTGATTAGCTGATTAATAATAATGATAATTATCTTGTGATGTTATAATTTATTAAAATTTGAAACTTTTAATACCCACCATTTCGAATTAATTACCAGCTATAAATCTCATATAAATAATTAATTATTTACTATACATAAAAGTTAAATGCCGCTTATCTATCAATAATGGCCATGAGGATCACCAGCTCCCTTGTTATATAAACTTCCTTTGGAAGTGATTAAAGTCAGTAATAAATAACTAATTAAAATTCTTAAAAAAGTGCCGACTTAGTTTCTTTGAAGAAAACGGCATCGTAAATTATAAAGGATGTTATCCTGTGAGTGGTTTCTGCTTGCATTTAAAAGTTATTGACACTTTTTATAAGAGTCTTAAATTGTAAACATAAAAAAATAATTCTAAAAAATATATGATGTATTAAAATATCTTAATAGATTAAAATAAATGAGTAATATTGCGTTGGATGAATTTGTATATCAAATTTATTTCATTTTTGTTTTTCTCCATTTCATAATTACTATGGCGTATATAAATCATTATTATGATATATAGTATTGATTTTTTTTAATAGTTAAAATTATATATTATTTATTTATTATGTATGTTTATTGCAATCAGGGTTTCTACTTATCATTCTTATGGAATTCGCTGACTTTTAAAGGTCATTTTTGATTAAATTCCAGGCCATAAAATAGTTTTAAACCGGTAAGATTTATACAAATAATTTTTCGCTTCTGAAATATTATTGGGAAATAAACAACAAAGACATCTATTAACCATCGTCAAAATATTGCAAAAAGTCATTAAGTGACAGTAGACCCATCAAATTAAATCACTAATTTCAGAACGTTAATAATTTTCTTTCTTTGAGCTCAAATCATTATGAACTTAATTAATTTAATTATAGTTATTCAATTAGTTTAATTACATATTTAATAGGATTGGTGTATTTTTGGTGCGCTTATAATTTCTTCATTATATATAGATAGAGCTAGACGTATTTTAAATATTAAAAAAAAATGTATATTTAGTGAGTTTTTTTTCTATGAACCATGAGCTAGCTATCTTAGTTTAATTAAAAATTCGGTACAACATTTTATATTTTAAATACTGCATTACATATATAGTATGGCCAGATCCCTAGCATTGTTTTAAACCAAATATAATAAATGTTATTTTATCCATCAATCGAATACTTTACTCCATAGTAATCGAAACTTTATATAAATTCTTTTAATGTTTTTGGAAATTCTAGCAAATATTAAACAAAATATCTTTGTTAACTATCAAAAAAGTCTTGAACTACTAATTGAACATTGCCAAAAACTCTTATTTGGCATAAAAATACGAACTAACAACAGATTGCCTTCGTTGACACCGAAACTGTCTCTCATTAAAACGTTTTATTCATAGAATATGATTGCGGAAAAAAACAATCACTGAAAAAAAATGTATGAATCACAAGAAATCGATGATGATAACGATGAATACCGTAATACATGTGATGTGGATATATATATACTTCACAAAAACCAATTCTATACCTTTTCAGGTTTACAAACCCTTTCTGACTTTTAAAGGTATTGGGGTTTTCTTTGGGGTCCGGTGGTCGTCTAGTGAAGTATTGGTAGTTTAAAATAAGTGTGAAATAACTGTTTCAATGATATTAACAGGAAAAAAAACTATTTATAGGTTCGGAAGGACAATTTTCTAATATTTATTTTTATTTTGGACATCTTGAACTGACTTCTAATAAAGGTAATAAATATAATTTTATATTGATAAAAAAAAAAAAGAAAGAAACACCATCCAAACATTCTGCGGAATACTGAAGTTGTCCAGAATTTGTTTAATTTTTGTTTCAACATTTTAGCTCTTAAAGCTTCTATTTCTGGAATCGTTATGTTTGTGTTTCCGGGAATTGTTTAAAATGCGACTTGCGCCATTCTGAATTTAACTTCGTCAATTATAAATGAAAGAAAAGCAGCAAAAGTTTGAACACTTTGACTTGAAAAGAGAAAATTTATTTTTCAACTTAATGAATATACTTACAAATATAAAGTTTAATTAATATAAAATATATTTAAAATTAATATAAAAAATATTTTACCAAGAATATGATAAAAAAAAAAACATGACAGTGAGCTCCAAACATCTTGGAAATTTTCCAGGAAAACTGCATTTTTTATTCCGATTGTAATATACATTTAAAAAAAAAATAAGTTAATAAATTCTTTATTTGAAGTGCATTTTCCCCGAAAATTTATGAATATTTTTATTGAAAATAAAAAACATTAAAATTCAGAAATATCGCATTTGGAACGATTTAAACTTGTAGGCCTGTTTCAAAATTAGAAAAAAAATCTGTTTGTGTTCGGTTAGTTGATAATAAAATGGTGCATGAATCAGGAAGAAATAAAATATTTTAATTTATGCTATTAAAAATTAACAGTTTATTTACAATAATAGAACAATAAAATAAATTTATTTATAATTTTCATTGGAATAAAACTGTTAAAATTTCTTTTGATAAATTATTTTTTTAAAAATACTTAAGCAATGCATCATTATATGCCCTGAAACAAAATAGGGTTTTGAAAATAAACTTATTTTCTTCATACTTTTTTTTTTTTAATTTACAGATTCGCCTTAAAAAAATAATAATAATAATTGCACCATCAAATTCATGTGTTGTTTCACATAGGAATCGATATTTATCCCGAATTTAAAAAAAAAATATATATATAAGGATCCACTTTGGAAATAAACAACTCAATAACGTTAGATTGGAGATGTTATTTCCAATAAATCGATGAATCAATAAAGAACTAAGTGCTATCTCGAATAATTTAAATATTCATTCTTGCAACTTTGTAAATAAAAAACTTCTATAAATATGATATGGTTTATCAAAAGTATTACAAATATATAATAAAGTATAAATAGTTTATTATTCGAAAACCAAAACGCATTAGGTTAGAGAAAAGACTATGACTTTTATAACAATACACAATGGGAAAGAACACACAACCTGGTCAAGAAAATGGGTTGTTTGGTATGGCACTACTTGGTATTCAGCTGAGACTGTACACACTATTCCCACAGCGCAAGAAATATTTAACTGGACAAATAAATAAAAGATTATTGCAAAGATGGCGGGACGTGAAACCAATTCCATATAAAGTGTAACATACTCCCAACTAGATAATACAAGATACACCAAGATATAAGCTGTTTCTTTATAAATAGGTTTTGAAAATATCTACTGCTATTGTATATGTCTCAGAAAACAAAAAAATATTATTTCTTATATCATTAGGATGTATTTTTGACAATACTATAATTTAGAGAATTCTGATAAAACAACCAAAAAAAAGGAAACACAGACAATTTCAAAATTAAACAAAACGTCAATTATGACCAGTGATCAAAACTAATTTATTGTTTAGGCGGGCTTTTTTAGTTAAATAACGGTTACAGCACCATAAATGAGCATATAGCTAAAAAAGAGCCATGATGTAATTAGAATATAAATTTAAAACTCCAAAGCATAAAGCCTTGAATTTCGAACAGAGAAGTGAACGGTTAATCTGTCAACAATTAGCCGGTTCAGGCATCATCAAGAAATAAAAAAAGAGATTACATAAATGCAGAATTAAACAAAAAAAGTCTACCAAGTGAGGCCAGTATAGCTCCCTCACCATTTTCATTGGCACCACACTTACCCATATCTCAAGGTCTACAACTACATTTGCTAATTCTCACACTTCTTCTAGCTTTGAGCCGAATCGAACAAGCCGTTTCTGAAATCACGGTATATCTTAGAAAATCCATTTGCGTGCGTGGAACCGCAAGTATTGTACAGAATTTAATGGAATATTGGCTCTCCGAACAAATGCAAAAATGGACATGTTGTTATTTATCTTTAAGGTATCATGATTATCATGATTTAGATTATTGTGTATACATAATTTTTATTTCTGCTTATCCTTTCTAACCAGCTGTTAGGAATATAACTTTCTGATATTTTTTAATGCAAACTCCCATTTCCTTCAGTATGTGTTTGGTTGGCTTGATGAGATGTTGTTCGTAAAAGTTTATTTTGTATTTCTGTAATAATGTGATCTTGTTTTTTTTTTGGATAAGTGTGAAGTTAATTGGTGAACGTTGGCAGGTTAACTGTTTACCTGTATGGCAGTAACTCAAGTCTTTACCGGTTTGGGTTTTTCCAATTACTTCCTTGTCGACGTTTCGACCAAGAATGGAGTGTTCATCGGGGCTATTAGAGTAACAAATAATAAATTAAAGATTATTATTTCAGAAAAATGTGATATAGATAAGATATAGAAGAATACGGTGGTATAGATCCCTTTTCCGTCTCTCAGAAGTGTTGGATTTTGTTGTATGAGGTATCAATCGTGAGGGAATTGCATGGAGATGTGAAGAATCCTAATATCGAAACTCAGATTCGTTGAACAACTTTAATATGAGTCATAAGATCACATACGAGGGTTTAAAATGTATTGGGCCCTCAGAATGCATTGCCTTATGTACAGCATGAAGTGATAAAATGTCTCACCGCACTGTTAGATGATGCTTCACTGAGTCCCCATGCTTTGCTGTGGGACACATAAATATTCCGTCCCACCTGACGCGACATTTATGACATGATTGGCGAGAAACCATCACTTACCACTTTCTCGATTTATATTTCTGAACAATATACATAACCTTATATTAAATTTTCATTCTTGTCAGCTTATTCTTTAAATAAAGTAAACTGGCAACTGAGTAGGCATTTCAACCGATAACATCTGAATAAAATAAAGTCAACAATGCCGTTCAGGCCGAATATCCGATTATAAAACTGAAAAGCGAAAAACAAAAAATAAATGTGGACGGTGTTCAATGGAGATTAGTTTTTACAACAAGGAAACAATTCAGCAATAGTGAGTATTTATAGCAATTACAAAAGTAAGAACATTAAAAATGCACAGCTTTTAAAATAAATTAATTTCGATCCAAGTGGCCAGATCTTTTATTCGATATACCGATACTCAGTTAAATTGCTGAGATTAATTATTTTATTATATTTTTAGTTTATAAACACGAAACATAATAATATGTAATACCAAGTAATATTAAGAGAGTATTTAATTTAATACAAAAATATCCTTTGATACGCCGATTAAAATATGGCTTTCGAAAAAGCCATTTATCAGAACAGAAAAAATAGTATGAGCATTTATTCAAGTTTACTTTAACTTGACTCATATGGATATCAGATATGATGTTTAAATATGAAAACTGAATAATTCGCTCAAGAATTTCTCACAGTGTTAATTAACACATTTTTATTTAATAAGACAATATATATATATACATACTTTAAAATCCGGTTCCAAAACTTAAGAGGCTACTGAAAAATTGTGTTTGCCCGTTATTGCTCTATAGACTCTTATTTCATAAACCTTGAGATTTAATGCAATACAATTTTTTTGTATATTTTTTTTATACTTTTAAATTAAAAATTAATAACATTTAAATGTGTTCTAGGCATTCTCGACATCTGACAGAGGCACATTCAAACTTAAGGAAATGGTAAGTAAAGCCATTTCTACAGAGAAATAAGAAAAGTTCAAATTTTAATTTAATTAAAAATAACTTCTATTCATAAAAATAAGATATATATCAAACGAAAATGCTGTTTTAACTGTATTTGTTGAGCAACTTAACATCGATATATTTTTGGATGGTGATTAAATAGTTTTGATTTTATTTTTTTAAGAAGAAGAAGAAAGTAAATTTTACAATGGGACATTTAGTCATCTAAGAATAAGTACAGTGAACAAAAAAAAAAAAAAAATGACGATTGTCTGGTACTAAAGCTAAAACACAATTGCAAAACCGATAAATCTATTGGTCTAGAAACAAAAAATTAATAAAAGAAAAAGGGGAAACAATGTTGACACATCAATGGTGTTAAAATAAATCGTATGGTCATTTCGTTCAAATAAAAATTTAAAAAATTGTTATCATTTTTAGCACCGCTATATTTAAAAATGAAATAAGACACCTAATCATTCCCTTTATCTGGGTGTTGAATTTATTCTAACCCCTCATCCCAACATAAGGGTACCCTCATTTTCACTTGCATCTGTATGGATTCTCTGTGGAGTTTATAACCTATTACAGGACTGAGACAATAGAAATAGAAAATAACTTTATACTGGGACTAACTCTGTTAATAATAACTAAACTAATTACATCTCGCCTAAATAAAAACAATAGAAAAAAAAATCAAATATTGTGTATTATTTATTTTTTTACTTCACAAGGCTTTCAATAACAGAACATTTGACATGTTAGAAATCATGACCCACATATTTATCTAAGCTGTGATGAAGAGGTGAAAAATTGTGGCCCATATTGAGATTTTATTTTAATAAGAATTCTTGTAGATGATTATTTTCAATATTTGCATTAAGTAAATATATTTTGTTTTTTGCAGGGAACCAATATCATTAGTGCCGCTGAACAAGATAAAACAAACACGTATCAATAAAGTTTTACTTAGTTTTTCTTTTTACACAAACTTGTACAAAAAATATTTACAGTAATGAAAAATATTGCCATCTCGAAACTTTCTTATCTGAATTTTTCAACTGAAATACACGTCTTAAGGTCCAACCAAATGGTGTGAGCATGAAGGCGTTATATGTATGTGAAAGGACTAGCTCAAAAACGAAAATTGATAAGAAACTGGTATTTAAGGTAAGTATTTGCTTGGGTTGAAACAGCATTTTTTTCGCTTAAATCGACTCGCTGTCACTAAAACTTTTATAATCCATTTTACAATTTTATCTAAAAAGAACTAAACCCCTTAAACCATGATTCAGTTTTGTATGTTATATAAATATAAAATATATTACACAAATAAAATAAAAAACACAAATATAAATTTTTGAGAAGAGCGTTTATATCATAGTTATTTAACTTAAAAAAAAAAAAAGAAGAAAAATGGCACAAATAGTCAAACTGAAAACCTGACTAGGTTTCTGTTGGGTCAGTTAGGTCGGCCATTTTAAAAAAATATTTTTCCAATTAACCCCTTTACCATTTCCGATTACCGAATAACGGTGAAGTGTAATTTCATTTCATGATTTTTTTTTTTTTTTTTATGGATGCTTAGAGTTTAATCATATTTTCTTTTTTCTGGTGCTTTCACGAGTTCGTAAAGAGATCTAAACCTCACCAGAATATAATATGTAATTTTATTCGATCAATCGAAAAATAATAAATATAGAAAATGTTTTGAGCTAAATTAACAGAATTTAAAAGTTAACAAGAAGTGAGGTGGTACCATTTTGACAGTGAGATGGAATTATTCAGTTTTATTTGTTTTTTGTTTTTTTTTAATCACAGTTGAATCACAATTTTCATTTTATTGTGAGTTTGTACATAGTTAAATTGAAATTACAAAATAAATCTGTTGATGAGTTTCTGGTTTTATTTGTTTACTGTAACTATTTAAGTCATTTTTTTATTTTTCTAAGGATTGTATAAATTTATTGTGAGCCACTATTTGCCGTAAGATGGACCTTGGGACTTCGTGGGTAACTTTGGGGCAGTGAGTAAAATTTAGTTTGTGGCGGATACACTGTGTTGGTTCAGTCTCCAAAAATGTGGTTTGTGTTCCAAGATGTGGTTGCTTACAAGTACTACTACATCGCGGCAGTTTGATAAACCTAGTTCACTACACTCGTTGTGCAGGTTTTATTTTTTTCTAAATTCTTGTTTTCACGAAACTTTCGCAAAGTATTAGTACTGTACCAACACAGTGCATCCACCACGGAATCACCACAAACTAAATTTCACCCGCTGTCCCAAATTTACCCACCCACAGTCCCAAAGATAACCCATATTACGGTATGCATTTTGTTTTCTTCCGTTAAGGATTTGTATACAAAATTAATAAATTGAAATAAAAACATGTTTTAATTGCAAGCATCCAGAATATAGTATGTTTTAAAAATAAGAACGTGTAGAGATTGGCTAGCCATGGACTAGTTCATATTTGAAGTATCAAGGAAAAGTACTTTCTTGGCTCGGATCCAAAGGTCAGAGGAAATTGGTGAGATAAAATCATTAGAGTTTCTAGAGCCAGTTTTATCATGGAATAATGTTGAAAAATTAGATTAGATATTCGCCTCATTAAAACCGAACGCAGTTTCATAAAATTAATGGCTAGCCCCGCCCTTACCAAATGGAACATTATTAAACAGAAGTAAATGGGAAATGCTAAAATGGCACCGAGCCTCCCTCCTACATAAATGGCTATTTTTAGAATATAAAATTAATCTTTTACATACCGATATTTTATTAATTATTTTTAATATTTTCATTAATTATATTTATTTAGTTAGTTTATTAAGCTTTAAACGAAAAAACAAACAAAAAAAACGAAAATAAAAACGTTAACAATGAATAAAACTTCAATTATGATTAAAACTTACATCAATAAATTCAGGTTTGTGATAAAAATCGACATTATATCAATCATTTACTCTTCGACAATGTACGTTACCTCGCTCTAATATTCGACAGAAAGATGACCTGGGCCCACATTTCAAAATGAAACGAAAGATTTATAACGAGCGTCTGAAAATCAAATCAAAATTTAAAATCAGATAAAAACTAAATACATACACTTACCTGCTTAAACTCGATTGGACACGCCTCACAGATTTATGGTTTAGCAAAAAACGACTCACAATCTTTTCAGTCTAAAATTTTAGGACTAATAACTGTAGCCCCCTGGTACATCTAAAACAAAACTTTACATACCGACCTAAAACAACCAACTATTGACCAGCACAAACGTACTCTCTAATCCTGAATTCATCGTAAACTACACGGACATCACAACGGACTTATCAACGACATCGCCACGGCTGACATGCTCATCAGGAGGCGACTGAAAAGGAGTTGGATGAAAGATCTTCTTTCCTAATTTATGGATGTAAACAAACCAGGAAGAGGTGCTGCTGGGTACTATTCTTCATTATGCCAATCATGCCATGTTTTACCTAACAACAAATCTGATAATTGTCACTACCATGACAGGTGCGGATGGAGATTCGAAGATCAAATGCATAGTGCGTTACGTGCAAACTCATATTTCTGAAAAAACGCAAATAAAAGTTTTGAAGTTAAATTTCCGAGTTTCAACCAATGATTCACAAATGAATGTTTAACTCTGTAATAGTTGCATAACATAGTCTTTAAATTAAACACAGAGTAAATTAAATTAAACATTAAATATAGAGAGAGTAACTGAAGAGATGTTTTTTTTGGGATGTTCAGTCAAAATTACATTGTAAAAAAAAATAAATCATGTTCATTTTTATTTTTGACGACTTGCCGGGCTAAAGTTTAGGCCTTCATCAGGGCTAAGGAAAGACCAGATAACAATAGCTATGAGAAACGATTAACATTAAAAAGAAAATAATAATATGTAGTCTAATAGCATGTAGGTAGAATAAATTTAACATTAATAAATAAGTGGAGAGGCAGAAATATGAAATATAAATAAAGGCACTTTAAATAACGATAATAAAGTTAGGGATAGAAAATAGCGGAAGCAAAGTGAGGATGTGTAACATAACGGTAACAAAGTTAGATACTTATGAAAAACTAAAACTAAATAAAAAATAACAGAAATAGAGAGGAAATTATGAAATAAATAATAACAGAATCAAAGTAGGAGCTTATGAAAAAATAAAAATAAATAAATAATAACAGTAATAGAGAGGAATTTATGAAATAAATTATAACAGCAACAAAGTTGGGGACTAATGAAATAATCATAATGAATGCAATAAACATAATGAAATTAGGTAACAAAATGATTGAAAAAGATAAAGAAATTAATGGAATATTATGAGATAAAAACGTAAGTTTTAGATATAGAATAAATGGGATGATGTAATTACTAAAATATGATTGAGAATGCTTAAAATAAGTGAGATATCTATTTTTTTTTTTAGCACTGATGAAGTCCTGAACTTTAGGCCGAAACGTCGGCAAAAATAAAAACAAATATTTTTTTTTTTTTGACGGAACACCCCAATCAACGTCTCTTTTACTACAGCCAATTTTTACTACTACTAATCCACTATTATTTCAATGAGAGTAAAATTAGCTTTCTGGTAATATCCATAAAAATTTAATGCACTCAACACTTTTCACGGGTGGCTTGGATATATAATTCGGTAGTATAGATTTTCCCGGCTTTCAGGAGCGGTAAATTTCGATTTTTCAAATAATTAAAATAAAATTCGGGGAACTAGTTTACTTAAAATACTAATTATTATAAGTATTTTTTATTTTATTTTATTTATTTGTTTTCGGGGAATGCCCCATACAAATAGAGTTGGCTATAATGATAATTACTATTAGTATATAAAGACTACTCAATACTCACATTTTTTTTTTTTTTAAGCCTGTTCTTACAAGTATTTTGCTACCTGTAGGCCTCCTCTAATTAAGAGGGTAATGGTCTAACTTCCCGCGGGGGCCAGCCTAAGACAATAAATACTAACATATTTTAAATACTTTTTAAAATAAGTTGCATATATTTGAAGTTCATAATTTTAATTTATCAAAAAAATACTTCTTTTATCAATAATGAGTATTTTATGTTTTAAAAGAATATTTGAATTATATAAAATAAACATATCAGTGGGTAGATGCTCAAACAGATAGATGCTATAGAAACTTCATTCTAATCCGAACTGCTTTTCCAAGAAACCTAGACAAAGTTTTAAAGCGGATTAGAGAGTTTCAAGAAATTAGATTGGCTTAAAGGGTTTAGCTTCAGGCTCTGCTGACCGCATGAGAGTGGAATTGAATTGTTAGTATACATGGAAAATTTCGAAGGATCTGGATTATCATTAAAAATACAGTGACTTTTTAACTTTATTTTTTGGAATAAATATTATTTTATTGAGAAAAAATACATTTTGCCTCAATCAAAGGCATTGAGTATTTGAGATGTGAGAAACTCATTCATACAATATATACAATTACAAAAATAGTAGAAATTATAACAAAAATAAGAGAAACAAAGCTTAGTAAAACAGATGAAATACAATATAATACATCACAAATAAAAAATAAATAAATAAGCAACAAAAAAAAAAAAGAAACATTCATGCTTATTTACAGTCAGCCTAGGAAGCTCCAAGTATTTTATTTTTAGTAACAAAGTTAGCAATTAGACAAAAATGTCAGCCTGGAAACTAAACATTTTTTTTAATTCTTTTTTTTTTAGCCAAAAAAGTTTTACAATAAGCTAATGTACATTATTAACCACAGGCGGATTTACGGGGGGGGGGGGGCTTTCGGGCTGAAGCCCCCTCCCCAAAATGGAAAAATGTAATCATGTTTTATGGTAAAAAATGTTAAAAAATTATGTCTTAAAGTATTATTGCTCGTTTAATTACATTTAATAGGACTTAAAGAATCACTTAAACACCATTTCATATAAGTAGTTAGTATCTTTCTGTTTTTCTAAAGTAATTATCGTTATATATATGAAAAAAAAATT